TTTTTAGCATAAAAATCTTAAGTTTAAAGTATCAGTATTGAAGACTTAAATATGCTTTGGAAATTAAAAGCCTAAAAGCTCTCAGGGTAAAAGTTTAAATCCTTTCATCAAATAATGTTTTTATACATTTTTAGGCCTGACAGATTTGGAGGGGGAGAGAGGAAAAGGAAGGAAAAGACAAAGCAGAGAAAAAAGAAGATAGAAGGGGAAGGACGGCTGGAAAAGGTTTTGGGGTTAGAGGTTTCTGTGTATCGATTTATGACGGTGGTGTCTCCTGGTGTGCCTCACGTCTATAGAAAAAAAAACCCAAAAAACAAACAAACAAAAAACCCCCCCAAAAACCAAAACCAAACCATACCAAAACAAACAAAAAAAAAAAAACCCAACAAACTTTTACTGTCCCAATCCCGTTCCCGTGGAGCCTCCTGGTGGCCAAGGAGGAGCCTCCGTCAAAGCCCAGCTTGTCACTGCTCCTTTCCCTTGGCAAGGTCTTTAAAAAGTTGAACTTTCCATACAGTTTAAAAAGTGGCTCAGCTTTGGCCGTGGAAGGTGCAGGTCTATTTACAGTGTAAAATCTCGTGTACCTTTCCTCAGTGGCCATTAAACAACATTATTTAAATGGATGTTTTAAAGAGTTTTTTAAAAAACAAACAGATATCAGTAGAAGTTGGGTTGACTTCTCATCTTTGCATGGTCATTTCCTCGTCTCTGTCATCTGGAGGGAGGTAAAAGCACTTGTGTCTCCTCTGTGTCCTGACCTGAGGTCAGACTTTTCTTCCCTTAGCAATTAAGTTGAGAGTAGTAGTGCAGATTTGCAAGGAGTGCCCTGATTATTTCAATTTTGTTCATGTAGGGTCAGTTCTTAAAGCACTGATTGCTTGTATATATTAGATGCCTTTCAAAGGAAAGAAAACCAGAAGCTCTGCTCCAAATGAGTTTTGATGCCTGCTAAGACCATTGTGGTGTGAGTCTGTCCCCAGAAGCTCTGGAGGGGTGATAGGAGTGCTTTGGGTTCTCACTGGAGGCGCTTCACTACCTGCTAGAGTGATCAGATCCCTGGAAGTGGGCAGCATTTGCTGGGACAGCTGTAGGAAGAGCCAGAAAAGAAGTTTGGCCCAGCACTCTGCCCACTCCACAGTGGCAGAAATTGGCTGGAAGGATGAAGTGTGACAGTGGATTGAGCACTTTCAGGCCTCTTCTTTTCTCCCAGAGCACTGAGGTGTTGTGTTTGTCCTACAGGTGCACTCACTTCAGCAGAAGTGAAACTGCCAAAGGTCTGTTGGGATAATGTTTTACTTCGGGTAAGTCACTTAAGCATTTTGATTTGTAATATTTTAGCATAATGCTCCATCTTCTGGGCAAGAGGTGGCATTTAACAGGCTGAGAATGTCTCATTAAATTATGAGTCCTATTGAACATTTTATTAGAGAAATTTGTTTGCCACTCATCCACTTCGTCTTGCCTCCTTTGCTGCTATAGATTGGCTTTTGATTGCCATTAGATTAGCCAAACATTTTTTGTTTGCTCTTTTTTTAGAGAGGTCTTTTAAAATACAGGGGATCCTTTTCTTTCTTTTTTTTTTTTTTAATATGACCTCTCTAGCCCAGAGTTTTAATGATTGCAGTAAAAGTGCCAGAGAGTTTTGAATCCGCATTAGTCAGGAAGCAGATGATTGTCAGTTTCCAGTCAGTTCAGAAAGTCGCACAATGTGAAAGAGGAAGCAAAAGCAAGCATAGATAAAAATGTAGATGTAGGTTATCAATTAATGAGTGAGTCAGTGCTACCCTTCTTAAAGGACCAAATCCAAAAGTTCTCACCATTTTTGTAGTGAAAATTTCAGCTCTGGCCCATTTTAAAGCAAGGTCCTGAAGTTGGGGTTTAAAGTAATTTTTATGAAGTTAGAATGATCCTCAGGGGCCCCAAAACCAGCAGTTTGGTTTGGAATTCTGACATATTTATAATGGTCTCCCCTGATCCATAGAGAAAAATAGAAACAATAACAAGAAAAAAATCTTAGTACATAAATTTACTGGAAAAAACATTTTAAATAAAATTGAATGCATTTCCCAAATGTCACTGTAGTTTGCCTATGCTGAAAAAAAATCCTGAAACAAAGAAAATTAGTTTTCCAACAGTAGTAACAGACAGTTCTAAACATTTTCCAAATCCGTATTAAAAATGTGTCAGATTGTGTATGCTGTGCTTCACCTTTGTGTCAGACAATTACCAACTGGAATGACCAGCAGGTCATCAAGAATATAAGCAGCATCTACTCCATGCTGTTCTGTACATACACTTCTGTTCCCAAGTTGAGTTTAACTCAAAAATATGATGAAGCCATGGTTCATCAGGCTGATAATTGGAGCTAAGTTCTGACCTGCTGTTTTGAAATTCTGCAGGATAACTGGGATTCCATTGATAGGTCCATGAGGTGGTGCAATTGCTGCATGGTCTGGATACAAGATTTTTCTTCAAAGGCTGTAAGCAGGGTGTGAAAGGAGTCATCTCTTATTTTACTGAAAAACATCTCAAAAGGAATGCAAATAAAATAAATATATTCTTTAGTATAGGAAACACTAGTTTTGAAACTATTCACAGCAAAAGATGATTCCTACCAGTCATGAATGAACTAGCAGGTGCATTATGCTAAATCTTGTAATTGTCCAAAAGATTTTAAAACCCCACAAAACTGTGCAAAATGCTGGAAAAAAACTTGTTTCCCTAAGATAAAAGCAATAAATAACCAAGGGAAAATAAAAGCCTTTCATGCAGAAAATCTGAGAACCTTTCTTCCCCTCAGCTCCACATGTCTCTGAGAGAGTATATGCTCCTCTGTTTTTAGCTGTCATGCTTAAATATGACTAATAAATTTTGAATCCACCCAAAATGTAAAAATATACTTTCTGCATAAAGAGCTGGCAGATATAAGATGATATATGAAGGTTTATTTGACAATATAGTCTTGCTTTAAGTCAGGAGACATTTGCAATATCAATAAAAAGAAAGTATGCAGCTGTTCTCCTTAACAGTGACAAATTGCATGAGCTACAAAAGTCCTGCTCAGTGTAGTATGAGTTTTTGATAAGAAAGTGATTTGATTTTTTTCTTCCTTCTTACCTTTTGAAGCAAGTAAAATGGAGAAAGAAAATAAATTTTAAACATGAATTGGAAGAGTAGAACTTGAATTGCAAAGTAGTGCAGTACAGCACTTCACATGAGGCTTTTGCCTGGCAAATGTCTCAGAATTAGTTTTGTTGGTTTTTAACAGGCACAAAATGTCATAAAATAAACTGAGAGGTGAAAAATGAAATGGAAATAAGCTGAGAGGTGGTGGCAGAATGTTGATAAGTCATTTAGCTGTTATCTACCAACTCTTAACTTTTTTGTTTTAATTTATATGATGAGTCTGGAGTAGCACAAAGAGATCAAATGGAAAACTAATTTTAAAAAAATAGATTAGCCAGATTAAAAGTGGAAATAATTATTTTTAATAATCAATAATTGAATAGCCTACATAAATTTGTAGGGTGTGGATTTTGTTTTAAAAATTTGGAAAGCATATATCGTCACAAAGTTAATGGTCATGTTAAGTAGCCTTCCTTGAAATGGCGCTAAGCAGCATAATTTTGCTTAGATGTTTTATTTTTGTGTTTATTGATTACCTTCCGTAATTTGCTTGCTTGATCAGCACTTTGAGGCCAAATGACGTAGGATTTCCTGGACAGTCCTATTTATTGTCTTTCATAAAGACTCAACACTAAGCTTCCTTCTGCTTTCCTTCTGGACATAATCTGGAATTTCACCCATTTTTTCCAAGAAACATTTACAAATGAATATAAATAGTTTGTGGAGCTCTCCAGCATGTTCTTCAGATTTTCTGTAGTACACATTATCTGCTTTAGCACATTAAAATCCTTAATGATTTGATATTTATTATAATTTCTGTCTTGAACATTAGATGCACCATTATCCTGTTAAAATATGAACTTCTACATGAACTATATTTCCAGAAGTATCAGTTATCAATTATACAATTTTGGATGTAGTCTGCAACTGCTGTATATGCTTCTTTTTCCTCATACTAGCTGCAGACAGCAGTCAGATCTAGCTAAACATCAGCAGTTATCCCACTAAATTGAAACTGTAAATTTAAATGCAAAGTGACTCTTGGATCCCACTGCTGTTTAAAAAAACCCCCACCAAAACCAGATTAGTTAATTGAGTAAGCACAGTATTTGACAATTGCCTTTAATCTTCAGCTCGAATCTTTGTACAAGTGTTGAAACCCAGGGCAGAGGGAATATTTCTCTGACTGCTCTGGAGTGTCCTGACTCCCAGGGGAACACTGACTTTGACCCTCATTCATGGAGAAAACTTCCAAAGCCTCAAGGTAAGCTAGAAACCACACAAGTGTGAAATAGATTGTAGAGATTGTAGATAGTAGTATGTCACATGGGTGAGAAATTTAGGTTTTAGGATTTTTAGTATATTATAGACGGGTTCAAGAGGGAGGGTACAGGGTGTTGCCTCGAGTTCATTTTACTTCCTTCTGCTTCTTGGGTTTAGGTGGTATCTTGTAATTGGGTAGAAAAATCTGCATTGTGGGTCTTTAGTGGTCAGTTGTTGGGTTAGAAGGCAAAATAATTTAGGTGTCACTTCTTTATTGGGTAGCTTAGTTTTTATTAGACTTAAAAGGCCTTGTAACAAGAGATTATGAGCCATTTTTGTGCTGTTTTTCCTGCATGCAAAGTCTGGTGCAGACAGTGTGATGAAGTTTTGATAACAGTAAACAGAAGCTGAAGACCGAAAAAGTCCTGTGCATCTCTGGTTCCTGACTCAGAACTGCTCCAGGAGGGTCTCCCCTGCCAGGGGATTCCCCCAGGGAGTTGCCCAACTTAGAGCCTGCAAACTGACATACAAGGATGGAAACAAGTTCAGCAAATGGTAGCTATTCATTCTAGTTTACACTTAAATGCATCTAGGATAGAACATTGAAAATTGGTGTCATCCCTAAAGAACAGAGTTTTCTTGTGAACTCAGTAACTGTGATGTCTGCAATCAGATTAATTAGCCACATTTTCCTGAAAAAAGGCATTTTACTGGGTACCTACATTACAGTGTTCTGGACACATACATTCATTCTCTTGTACTTACGAGAGATGAAAACAAATACCTTCTCTGACCTATTGAAGTAAAAGTCTGTGTTTGGCTTTAATGCCAGGAGCCAAAATACTACAGAAGGTGGACTTCTGTAATTGCGTAGCCAGAATTAACTATGCCTTAAAGTCAGCACTCTCTGGATTACAGACTTGGGATCTCAGGATGAAAATCACTGAGAGTTCATTGTGTTTTTGTTGGCCTTCCCTGGACTGCAGTAATGAACTGCACCATGCACTGCATGAGTGCTGAGAATACTAACGAAAAATGCTACAAGTGCCTCTTGGTGCTACTATGTCAGCTTACAAAGGTAAGTTATATTCTCTCTGTATAATTTTTACTCTTTATGTTCTGTTTGAATGCTCATAGGCTGTAATATCAAAAGTTATTGTCTTCATTTTTGTCAGCACATTTAAATTCCTTTTCATACATCTTTTCCAAACAGCAGCCCTGAGAGTTGTTGTTATACCAGCAGTGGATGCTGGCATGCTCCAAGGTAAACGTGTCTCCACAGATCTATCATTTTCCAGGGAGTAAGCTTCCAAGCTTTTCCATATGTTTTGCTCCTTTGTTTTGTCTTCCTTCAACATCTGTTAGTGTGGTGATAGAAGCAGATGAGAAGAGAGTATGTTTGCCTTTATTTTGCAAGGACCAGCAAGTGGTAAAGACATGTTACTCATGTGCATGGATTTCAAAATAGCTATACTTTTTCCATATACTTTAGAAAATAATAAGTAAAAGTCTTCTAAATTAAGAAGTCTGGGGTTCTTTTGACCATCTTCAATTGGAGGGTCAGTAGTCTATGCAGTGGAGGTGACAACTGCTGGGATGTGGCAGCATTATTAAAGACATGACACTGGCACAATGTCTTGCTTTAACATGTGGGCTCATGAGGATGCTGGCAGGCTGGGCACAAGGTAAGTCTTTGAGTTGTTTTTGTTTACATGATCAGTGCCAATGAGAATTTGAGTCTTGTGGCCTCTATTTTAGATTTTTATGGCCCACTTCCTTGGGGAAGCCTAACACTGTTAGAAGTGCTTAAGGCTGAAGAACTTCTGACCCTCTCATCATTTTCTCATGCTTTCACATATTTAATTTATTGTTGTACCTGTTTCCTCTGAGTCATCTAATCTTTCAGTCATTAACTTGCTTCCTTTGGCAAAAATATCTGACAGCCACTTAGAAGCCACTTAGAACTTGGGGCTTCTGGTTAGGAAAACAGCAGCGAATGACACACATTTTTTGAAATAAAGGCCTGATCTGAAAGGTTTTTGTCTCATGTAGAAAGCACACTGTGGCTTGTCCTTAATACCAAGGGTTAGGTAACATTAAGCATCAAGCCTGAGGGTACCTACGTTTGTATTGAGATTCTGTGGAATTTTTGTGTATGCATCCAGCCTGACAGAATACCATTCATTCACATATTTCTTTTATAATCACTTTAAGCTGCTAAATAAGTAGTTCTACGTGTTGTTACACAACAATTTAAACCAACTCAAGTCAACACTGCCATGGTTCCACCTTTCCCTTCCCTTTACATGACACAGACTCATGGTCTCTTTCCAGGGCACTCATATCCATGTGATATTATCATGCAGAGCTCATCTGGGGAGCTGACTAACAGGATGTGCACTGTACTTTTTGTTTTTTCTAAGTCAGGTTTCTTGGGTCGGTGTAGAGCCAGCACACATGTGATGGACAGGCTGATGATTCAGGCTGTGGTAATGCTGACATACATTATCATGGTTGTTTTGGGAATGCATGAATGGCTAAGCTGATCTAATGGCTTGCTGCTGCTGCTAGGAAGGAAGGAGTGGTAATTCTCTTCCCCTGCCTCCCAACTAGATAAAAACTTGGTTATGTTCTCTTCCTGATTTTGTCATCAGTTCTGAAGTCAGTTGGATGGTGTGTTGTACTGATGAATTTGCTAACAAGGCAGAAAAAACCCTTAAAATGCTAAGTGTCTGGCTCTGTGTTAGCAGAGTTCACCATACATTCAGACTAATTCCAGAGACAGCATAAAACCAGAGAAGAAAAGGTGTTAACAGAATTGTAGCTCTGAGTGAGAGTAAACTATTTGTAGGGTGCAATTAAAAATGTATCTGGGCTTGACTATGGCTGGTCTTTGTCAAGCAAGTGAAAAGATCTTTTAAAAATGTGAGCAAAATCCATGAATTACTGTTAAATCAAATCTCAAGGCAGTAGTGTCACACAGCATTATTAGATGGGACTGCTTGATGCTCCAGAAAAGTCATTGTGGCCTTTGAAGGAGAAATGTGATTTAGCTGCCTGCTTGTTCCTGTTTGACTTATTTACTTTGAAGTTGTGCAATTTGATAGGTAATGAATTTCTGACATCTCAAGGCTGAGCCTTGCATGATGGAAAAAAGGCAACATGTGATTCTAGAATGGATAACTTGGCACTGCATCATCTGTGTTGAAACAGGTTTAGCATTGTATCTGTGTTTGTTGTGTTCAAGGTGTTTTATTGTTCCTAGCTTAGATCCTGCATCTTTTCTTCTTGACTAGACATTTATGCCAGAAGTTGCAGGATGTGGAGATGCCAGTCCATCTTACCTTGTGTAGGAAAAGTAGAATCACTGTGCATGTGTAACGTGCCTTCAGGTAAATGTTAATAAAGATACTATTGTACTCTTGCAGGAGAGATGTGATTTTTGGCTCTGGGGAAGCAGGGAAATTGTTATGAGCATGGCCCCCAGGACTTATGCTGATTTGTATATTTTTTGTACAATGGAACAATGATTTTGTTTTTTGACTGCTTTTTGATTTATATATATTTTCCACTCCCTTCTAAGGACACTAAATAGTACAAGTGTTTTAAATGCTCTTTAAGAAAAAACCTTTAAAAGTTGAGATGTATTAAAAAGAAGCAGTATGGTTTTATATAAATTGGTAATCAAAATGCTGATAGAAGGACTTACGCCTCTTTTTAAAGACTGAGAAAGTACCATGACTGTTTGATGAAATTTCTCATCTCCCACTAACACCTACATCAAAAAACTTTGATCTGCTAGAGAAATACCAGGCAATTTCCATTAGAAAGCTATCCTTGAGTCAGATTTGCATGGTTGGCCTGTTCACACAGAGAGAACCCTCATACCAGAGCTGCTGGCATTGGAGAGCCTGTGGGCCTCCAATGGTCTGTGCAAAGGCTCTGAACCATCCTGCCAGGGGCTCAATGGCTCCCAGCTCTGTGGTCACCAAGGCAGACATTGCTGTTGTGGACAGGGGGTTAATAGGGCAACTTACATGTGATGGCTCATAAAAAAATAGTATTTCCTATTTCTTGGGAAATACTGCGGAACAATCCAGAAAATAGGTATATGGGTGGGATCATAAGTGCCTATATCTTCACTATCAAGCTGTTGTTTTGAGTTGAGACCACTGTATGCTGTGGCTATTAGCTTACACTGTGTGCTCTTTCACTTACATTTTCAAGAGAAAGATGGAAGCAAAATGGAAATAGAAATCTTGACTTCTAATCTCTGAGCTGTAGAACAGCTCAGGAAGAAAAACCTTTTCAATTGCCTTAGATAAATTACCACTGCACATTAAAATTTGTTTTAATGTGAATGCTTTCTGCATTTAGTGATTTAAATTTGTTCATTCAGAAGAGATACAAAGGCTACTACCTGTGATTGTTCATATTTGAAAAGAAGATTCCCATTCTTAGAAAAACACTTGCTGTTCATAGCAAAGCTTTGGGGTCTGCCTCAAGGTATAATTTCAGCCCATTCAAACTCATGCTATTAGATGAGATAGTCGCCAAGTATGTCTGTTGAATGCTGAGATAACACTGGGGCATTCAAAACCACTTGAACAGTAAGTTTAAGAGAATGTGAAATGTGAATTCACTTTATTATTTAGCAACGTCTTTAGTTTCTTGAAATATACAATAATGTATCTCAGACTTGGAAGTGGGAAGAAACTAACTTGTGTTAACAATTGGTTATTTTAAATACTGGGGAAAAAAAATCCACCTACTGCATCATTTAGCATCTGAATTGGTATTCAGAACTAAGAATCAGCAGGTTGCTCTTGGGGTATTATTAAAAGTGCCCCTGAAGAAGGCTATTTTTAAGAGACAAACCCAAAGTGTATTTCATCTGTGTATTAAGAAGTTCATATTCCTATTTAGCATATATGAGAGACTAGGGTAAGAAAAGAAAGATAGATCATGGCAAAGAACATTTAGGGCAGAAAGTGATCGAATGTAGCTGTAGGCAACAACAGCGATGGACAAAAATATGTGGAGGGGAAATTGGAAGACCAGGAAAGGTTAATAGATTTTGATAGATGAGGAGAGAGTAAATTATAGGCAAATACAGTGCAAAGTGGAGCAAGCAAACAATATCCAGGATAAACTTAAGTGGAGATGACTCAGAACAAACTGACACACCAGAATATGCCATAGCTGCTATATCAAAGGCAAAATGAGATCCTTGTCTTTGTCTTATTTTAGAAAGCAGGCAGTCTTTAAAGAAAAATAAGTAAACCAGAAAAGAGGAAGGAAAATGCAGGTTCTAGGATTGCTGCTTTGACTGTTGTTATCAATGTTCTGAAGCCCTGATGGCCCTGAGCAGCTTCTGCTGAAGCCTTGACCCCGGCCCACGGGCCCAGGCTCTATTTAAAATAAACTCAGCCTTCAGCTCATTTCCTGCTCGGGCTGGTGGGAGCTCCAGCGTGGTCCTGCCTGTGCCTGCCTGTGCCTGCTTGTGCCCTGTGCCCTGTGCCCTGTGCCCTGTGCCCTGTGCCCTGCCTGTGCCCTGCCTGTGCCCTGCCTGTGCCTGCTTGTGCCCTGTGCCCTGCCTGTGCCCTGCCTGTGCCTGCCTGTGCCCTGTGCCCTGTGCCCTGTGCCCTGAGCCTGCCTGTGCCCTGTGCCCTGTGCCCTGTGCCCTGTGCCCTGCCTGTGCCCTGCCTGTGCCCTGTGCCCTGTGCCCTGCCTGTGCCCTGCCTGTGCCCTGCCTGCTGTGGCTCCTGCAGGGTTCAGCAATGCCTTGAGCCCTGGGGCTGATGTCCTGGTGTTGGCCTGACCCTCACACGCAGAGCAATTTCTTGCTCTGACCTTGGACCCGTTACCATGCTGCATTTTCCTGGTGGTCTGGGCTGTTGGCTCTGCCCTGCTGCCTTGCCTGGCTGCTGCTTTGGCTGTAAGAGCCCTGCCCTGCTGGCCATGCTGGTGTGCAATTGCTCCCCTGCTGCACCTTGACAATTGCTTTGGTGACTGCTACAGGATAGGTTCAGGAAAAACCACCAACTTCTTTTATTTATTCTTTCAAAGGATTAAGTTGGCAGAGGCAAATCTATCCATTTCTAGAGGTGAACCGCTTTAAAGGCTTTTTATCTTTCCAATAATTCCTTGCATAGTAAAATGAGAATGAAAATAATGCAAACACCTAGGATTTCTCAAATAGTGGCATCAGTTTAAAATACTCATCCCTTTGAGGTCTACAGCTGTGCTGAAATGGACAGTTTTTAAAGGACAATATATGTGACCTGGTATGTTGCTGTAATGACTGGAGGAAGCTCATAGTAGATGTTTGAAAAACAGCACATAGTAATGGCACTGCAGCTCTTAATCTCAGATCAGACTTTGCAAGTGCTGAACTTCTTCATATCTTACCTGATATCTAAATCTGTATTTTTAATATCCTTAGACATTTTAACTAAAACTGTGTAACAGAAATTATTAACATTATTAACTTTATAAGCATGAGTTATGCTACTTTGGAACTTTAGATCTGATGTAATTAGTTCAAGAGCAGTTATACAGAGCTGTTCTTGCCAATTATTCACTTCTCTATTCTGTTAGTAGGATATGACTTTTCAGCAAGGAAGGCTTTTACTTTTTTAAATAACATTACTGTGCAAAACTTATAATATTCATATCCTGTTTATTTTGTTAGAAAAGCTAGCCATGATACTGCATCCAGCTTTCTTCCCAGCATTTACACTAGATCCAGTTTCCAAAGGAAGCATGCCTATGTACTTTAACCTAAATGCTTAATAGAATGTTGCTTCAGTTGGTGAGAACATGTTCCATGTCTTTCCTATTGCTTCTAATTAGACAATGCAAAAAGAAAGTTTCCATTTTCCAGAACAGGTTTATCTGCTCAGCTGCTTCAGTCCAAATGATCTGTCAAACTGTCCTGTTAACTACTCTGAATTATGGTGAAGATAAATGCTAAGGCAATAGCAGAGACAGGCTTTTGCTGGGAGTGCAGGCTCTGCTTTGCAAAGTCCCCTATTTGGGATTCTAAGACAGGGAATGGGATAGCAAATATAGCAGCTAATATATGCTTTGACGTTTGGTTTATATGCAGGTATTGGCTAAATTCTACTTCTTTTGACCTTGCAAGTATCACTACTTCAGAATTTCACTTCTAAATTTCTCTTTCTAACGCAGTAACTATGGTTTTTGGTAATGGTGGCTTTATCTGTAGCCTGACCTTAGCAGCTGATCCTGCCCAGCCTCCATTTGCAGAGGTGCAGTGCCTGCTTCAGTTATGTTATCAACACACTGCAGAGATGAGCAATTGCTTAAATTTCTTGGCTTTAGCTATGTGCTTACTCATGAAACTAGATGCTTTACTCATCTCCTTGTGAGACATGGGAGGGTGGCTTGAGGAGTTAAAAAGAACTTCAGATCTCTGATAGAGAATGTCAGAAATTTAAATAACATGATAAAGGATTCAGTCTTGTGCTAGTTTAAGTAGGCCTTTAAAAAACCATTCAAACAAAAACTCAGAAGCTGACCAATGTACAGTATTTTGTTGCCAGCAGCCACTATAGAATAAACAAAACCTAAAGAAGATCCATGTGGATTGAAGGATTGAAAATGTTGTCAAAACTGGGTCTTTTGGTCAGTTGCAATGGAGACGTAACCACACTGAGTACAATTACCATGTGTCTCCCCATGAGATGTGTCACAGAAAAGACTAAAAGCCAGGTCTCAGTTTTACTGAAATATCATAACATTGGTACTGTGACTTAAAGTGTTAGATCATTACTTATCTGCTGGTAAATTACTGCTAACTCAGGTGTGACAGCAGGGGTGTAGTGACTTGCTAGTGAATAGTTGGCTGATTATAACATCTCTAAAATACTTAAATTAACTTGTCCATGAATTATTGAAATTATATGATAGTGAAACAGATACCTCAGTGATATTTTCAGTGTTCTTTCCTTGCCTTGTTTAATTACGTCATTGTTTTACTGTGACTCCATAGAAAAAGGGAAAAATGCAATTTTGACATTTTCTTGTAGATCTCAAAGGATGAAATATTCCATTATTATAACTGCTCAATGTCCCTGACAATTTTTTTCAACCACATTTTAGCAGCTATATGTTTTGCCTGTACTTCCCTGGGCTTATTATTTATTCAGTGCTGTACTTCCTGATATTTTTCCCCTCTATTAACTGTTTTCTTTTACAGCTTTCCCTTTTTCTTATTCTTCTTTCCAGAGCTTTTGTTGCAGAAGAGCATTGTACATAAATTGTCATGTTACTAAAATTACAGGTTGCCTCTCCTACTTAATGGCTGTTACTTCTGGAGAATGTGCAGTGGTTTCCAGACATTCAAATTAAGCTTAGCAGTTACTTTGTTAACTGCAAATTCTAATGATGTTTGATTGTTTCATTTTATGTGGTTTATTAGATTATGTATATTTGCAGATAGTAAATACAATTTTGGCTGTGCTAGTCAGGTAGACATCCTTTATAATGACAGCTGAAATAAAAAGGGTTAATAAAATTCCATTTGTATAGATTTTTCACAACCTTCTATTCCACGAATATAAGATATAGCACAGAGTAATCTAGTTCTTGATATAAATAATGCAATTATCTTGAGCAAAGATTTATGAATCCTTCTGTAATACACAATATCTAAGGTTGACATTGCACGTCTGTCAAAATTCTTCAGCCTGTCCTAAATTTGCATTTAATATCTGTGGGGGAAGAGGACAGAGCACTGCTTCCTTCATTGATAGCTGCATTGCAGAACACTTGCATCTTATTTAGAGAACAGATAAGTGAAAGGATCTCCACTGTCTCTGATCAGGAATCCTTAACTGTAGAATTCTCACTGAAGACACCTCAAGTGTCTCCTGAAATTCAATGAAACTTTACAAGTTTATGCTTGTAAGTGGGTGCTAATTCTGTGGTCTGAACTGGCAGACTCGGTGGTAGTTATTCTGTGGATAACTAGGTCCTGCTTTGGATGGGTGATGTTCTAAGGGTGCACAAAACAAGTCTACCACAGATGTGCAGGCATGTAAAAAGGCATAGATCAGCAAATATATTATCCAGTATTACTATTGTAAATCTTCCAGACGTATTGCCTTTCCTAAGTTGATCTCCTTACATAGGACTACCTTACTTTTGTTTATGGTTCCATTATTGAAATATATATGGAAAAACCATGCAGTGCCTGTGTATGCTAATGAAAGCACTGGTCTGTGTATATTTTACTGTCCTATCTTTGCACATCTTGAAGTATCTTGACATCTGGCAATCATTTTGAATTCACTTTCATTGTGCAGTGCTATTTGATCTGAAGGGATGCTTAAGTGACTGAGTAACTGGATAAACAGAAGCTGAGCTGCTTGAACAACACTTCCTTGCAGAGAAAATTGATGTGGTTGTGAAAACAGAAACCCATTAGCTCTACTACTCTGCAAAAAAACCCCAAAATCCACTAACCTGAATACTGTTTTGAATAATCAGGTAGTGACTGCTCTAAAGTAAATATAAAATTATTGCTCATCATGCTTGTGTTTCATTTTTGTACTTGATAGCATAAATGATGATGTCAGCCCATACTCATATGTATGCTAATCACTATTCTCTCCAGAACAGTAAGAAAGCTTCTCTAAAGACAGAACAATGTTGCCAGGTGTTTCTGCAAAACCCCATGCATTGTTTCAAGGACAGTATTTCTACCAACTTCCACTTTTTTCAAAGATCAGCAAGTCACTGGTTTTCCGAGAACATTTTAGCAGGATAAGAAAATCAAGAGATTCTTAAGTGTATCTCCAAAATGGGTACTGTACATGACTAGAGAGTAAATCAACTTCAGTTTATTCATAAGATTCGTTACTGCACAGCTGCTATCAGATTTTCATTTAGAGATAAATGTTAAATCAGTTTAATTTTGGTACTAATAAGCAGTTTGCGTACTCGTTCATGAGTAATAAAAATACAACCCTTTGTATGTGATTTTAACTACTTTTAGATACCTCATTCATATGCAGAAAAACCTTGAAATTAAAGCATTTATTACCAGTGATGCAACTGCTTATGAAATGATGTCTTTTATTTGACTGTTTAACTAGAAATTTATGAGGAGGCTTTGAAATAGAAGCTGGAACTCAGGATTTCCCCTTTTGAAATAATTCCTTCTGGTACACTCTCCCTCTGGCTGCATGAATTCCTGCATTGCATCTTGTGCTGCTTGTGGCCTGAAGAAACATTTCATATGCAAAGGCAAAGCCAAGAGTTTATTGTTAGCCTAATTAAAGTTGTGATAGTCTAATCAAATAGTTAGTATTAGCCTAGGACTAGTATTTCAGAGAGAGTAGTGTTGTAGAAAAGGTCTCAGTCATGATACAGTTAAACTTATTATTCCATGAACCTTTGTATCTACCTCCTTTCCCCCTGCTTTTTTATTCATCCATTTGCCACAATTCTGTGTCCTAGGGTTAACAGGTGCTGCGTTCCTCAAGAAGGAATGGAAGGGAAGTGACAGCCTGGCAATATTTCTCAAGAAGGAAACTGATACTGATAATGCTGGTTTTTCTTCTTACAGAACCCTCTTGGGGCTAATACTGCTTTTAGGGCATGCTTAGTCCTCTTCATGTGTCTGGAATTCCACATTACAGCTGAATTTCCCAAAAGTAATAAATACTGCATACATATGTATATTGGGCGCATATCCTTTGGTTTTTTTGTCATATCTGGTTTTACCCAGCTCTGAAACTTGCATGCATTTAAGGATCAGTAATTAACTATTCATCATCTGAATGTATCTGAGATCTCCTTTAATTTCCTGTGCTTGTACTTTCAAGCCCTTTGTCATCTTGTGCCTGAGCTACTCTATACTACATTGTTATTCTAGTGTTGTAAATAGTTTATTCTGGAATAAACTGTTATTATGCTACATTAATCAGAGAAATATCTTGCAGTTACTGTAACAATAGGTTTGAGATAAGCTAGGCTGTAACTAAAACCAGCAAGAGCACCTTCTCTTTGATCTCCAGACAGACCAAGACAAGTCCAGAGCTCTCCTGAGGTTGGAAAGGATGGGCTCATAAGAACCCTGTAATTTCTGACTAGCAATGGCAATAAAATGTTGGTTTTGCTGCAGGCCAACAGCATCTGGCTGAATATTGTTTTGAGTTCAGCTCAGCCTCTGGCCTGGCACAGAGCTGCTCCCATGGCAGTGGGGGCTGTGGGCTCCATCCTCACAGCTCCAGTTTGCTGGTGGACTGCTCTGGGGAGAAACAATCACAATTTAAAGGGAGGCTGATTTCAGTTTTCCTGAACATCTCAAAAATGGACCCCCACTTCTCACCCCAACCCCAGAATCTCAAGCTCAAACAGAAGCCCCTGAAACTCAGCATGGAGTGTGCCAGTGCATTCTGTAGTGTGAGATACAGAAGACAGTACAAGTACCTTTTCCCTTAAGTTGTGCAGAGGAGAGACAGTCCATAAATTGTTTTTGCATCTGTTTGTTTATGCTTTTTGTTTTCTTGACATCTCTGTTCTGATCTCTCTCTAATTTAATCTGGACATGTTAGGAGCTTTTTCAAATGCAGTTGGGATTCTTCTGTGTTTTCCTTTCTTGAGAGCTTGCTCAGAGGTGCAAAAGAAGGGATCTCAATTTCTGGAAAAATCCCGAATATTTTATTTTTCATATCTCTTTTAAAAAATGCTAACTACTCTTGAAGACCTTGGCAATGCTTTTGATACAAAGTTAATTATATCCTTCCTTAATGTGCTGTGAGAAGAGAATAATGCTTTAATGTTTATGAAAGAACTGCAGATACTGTCTGAAAAACTGGTACTGAGGCAGTTTTCCAAAAATGTTTAACACTACAGCTCTGTGTTTGTAATAGGCTATTATAATAAAGGATAAACTCCTTTACAGGATTTAAAACTGTAATTAGTAAGGGTGCTGTTGAGGATTGGGTCAGCTAAATGAGTGAAGTGGGTATTAAAATTCCTGTTGTGCTTACAGGTCAGTGAAAAACTGACTGCCTGCCAACCTCCTTGACTCATCTTAATGCCTCAGAATTAAAATAAAGCAGTTAGCTTACAGATGAACCTGCTGCCCAAAGATTGAAGCTAAGGATGATGGGAGACTATACTGGATTCTGTGGTGTAAAAAGGATGGCTATATTTCAGGAATAACAAGTTAATGTGTCCATAGTTCTAGAAGGAAACAGTGGCTGCTTGGATTATTTGAAGGTATGTCAGGTGGGTTTACTTGTGATAATGTACTTCAGATTATGGAAGCAGTGGAGATGCTTTGATTTATCAGTGAAATTTCCTAAGAAATTTTCTGCCATCCATTTTCTTTTCTGAGCAGAGTAGTTCAAAACATTCAGACATTATTTTTCAGTGGGTTTTTTTATGCTTGGAAATTATTCAAAACATTGAGGGTTCTGGTTTTGGCCTTTTTTTCTACTACTCTACTCTTTGCCTGAGTTTTGATTTTGATATGAAGAAGTAAATTTGTTGACAGTGATTGTGGAGTTAACCACTGTGACAGAAATTCTCTTGAGATTAAATAAGCATTGAGGCTTTTCTGTTGCACAGCTTGTAAGGTTCTTATTGAGGGTTCTATACATCAGATTCCTGAAGCTGATGTAGCATGTGTTGTCACTGAAACTTTCTAACTCTGGCTGTGCTGTGTAGCATCAGTTGTTAGAAGCTCACTACAACATCTGGGTTTTTTTTAAGACTTTTTCCATTTAAAAAAACTACTGAGTGTCAAGAAAACTTACTTTATCCAAGAAGAGGAAATCAAATCTCCAAAATGTGTGTGGTATACCTTTTTCCACAGGCAGCAGGGCTACTTTTATGGTGCTTGCACAAAGCTCTAGAATTCCTTGGAACTGTGGGTTTGTGGGCACAGGGACAAGAGAAGGAGGAAGATTTTGACCCTTTACTAAAGATAAAGAAAGGAAAATTAATTAAATGTTTATTTTAATATATCTGATATTATGTGCCTTTTCATACCAATATAAAGCATCTGATTAACTCTAAAATACAAAAATCTATTGCTTTTACATCTCATGCAGGTCTCAAATGCTTTAGATGAGAACATAGTTTCTGACATGCTTCTTAAAGGTCTTAGTGCAACATTTGGAAGAAGGTCACTTTATAATTATATACTTCTATGTGAAAAATAGCTAAGCTGTAACTAGCAACCGAATGAAGCATGTGGAATAAAGTAATACACAGTAGAGAGAGGCAAGTTACTAAATTTAGATAGGCTTTAAATTTGAGGGCCTAACCAAAAATATAAATTATTACTTAATTTCTTGCACTCTGAATGAGTCTATAATCAGGGTCTCTTGACTATCAGTGTTCTTAACTTGAATAAGTAGTGGTGGAAATCTTCACCATTCCCTTTATTGAAATAGGTGAATATCAAAATTCCAAACTTCCAACACCAACCCTGAGACAAAAAAAAAAAAAAAAAAAAAAAAAAAAAAAAAAAAAAAAAAAAAAAAATCAAAATCACGCATTGAATAATAACCCAAGTAAAGTATGGCCTGAAAACTACATAAAATCTTGTCTGGAGAAAATAAAAGTTGTTTCCTAGAAAGGGTGGATAGAAAGCTCAAGTAAAAACATTTCAGTTTTTACTTAGGTGAAATCTATATTGAATCTGAGAAGAAGCTCTGATTTGAAATACTGATTTGAATACTGCCTCAGATTGTACATAGCAAAAATAGAAACACTACTAAGTGGCGTTCCTAATATTTTTTGGTCTCAGTGGGTATGGAGTGAAGATTTGTGCTTGAGTGTCTTTTGCTTTATCTGTTACTGCAGAGCTTGACTGTGGAACCTGTAATATTCATGAATCTTTTCCAGAGAGTTTGCTTTATTGGTACCTCTCGATACAGGTAAGTGCATCCAAGTGAGAGGAGAAGTCAGCTAGGGAGTAAAATCCTTGGGCAATGCAAATTAATTCCCTTTTGCTTTATTACTTGTCCTGAGAATAAAATAGAGAAACTGCCCATCAGTCAGTGGCAGTTTACTGTGCGTGTCCCTAGCATGGCACAGAAGAAATGCAAATCCAGCTGCAGAATGCTCTGTGGTGTGAATCATGCACCTGGGCAATGCTCAGCACCACCATTCACTGAAGGGATCATCCATCTGTCATTCTAAAACATTATTTCAGCTGGGACCATAAGGACAGGATATTAAATGTAGGTTGGAAATTCTTTTAAATTAATTTAGAAAAGCTAAAGAAATCATTAAAAATGAACTAATTCAGAGCTGGAAAATAAACCTTTGAAAATGCTTTATCTATGTTGTTGTGATGAATAAGTATTAATTAGAACGGTTCATTATACCTGTCTCCCAACTGCTTTAGTGGTAAATAGTTGTTTTCTAGTGCTGCTGAATCAGTACTGGAGTAGGAATGTGTAAAGCAATCACGGGTACCTGAACTAAATGCTAACTGTGACATTCATGCTCTGCAGTTATGAAAATCTGAGCATTTAAATTTTCAATATAATTATTTGTCAATGTGGAGACACCAGATTTTTTTTTCATAATAGAACAGTAACTTTTTTCATCTGTAAATGACTCTGTTAAAGGGGAAATATTTTTTGCTCAAACAATTCAGCAGAAAAATCAAGCTCAGATTTTGTAATATAGGGTATTACTATTGATCTTGGCCAGAATTCCTTGCAAGTAGAAGGGCATTAGTCTGTAACTCTGAGTTGGTCTAATACCATTGGTGGTAGTGGGAATGAATGTATGCTGGCTGTTTTTAAATTTAGTTAATCTTAAGGAGTTTATTTGCATTACCATTTAATTTTGCATGGAACTGGGCTGACATATTGATGAAAGAAATGACTTTGGTTGTTTGTGACAGATTGGTCTTAGGGAAACTTGTGATGCAAGATGAGAAGCAAATATGGAAATAGTCATCTGCAGCTTGTTTGATGTATATATATTTATTTGTATATTAACTTTATAAATATGTGCTAGAAAATAAGTTTCTACTTAAGAAAATTCATAAAATGCATGTAACAAATAGATGCAGTACCTAGGATGTTGGAGAAGAAGGCAAGAGTGGGATTACAAGGAGACTTGCATGAGTCATTAGTGAAGACCAAATTCTTCCTGCCCGTATGGGCTGTGAAGAATGTGGATTTTGATTATTCCCTCATAGGTCCTCCTTTTTTCTTCTCTCTTCATATTGTAGTTAACTGTTAGTATAGCAAGACAGGAAGCTTTCTCATTTTGCATAATTTGGTTCCAGACTTTGATACTTTTTTCATGTTCTGCATGAAGATAAACAATTTTCTTCCAGAGTTCTGAAACTGGGAGCTGGACTCTGCAGCGTTGTGTAAATTGAGTCTTTGAGTCAGAGGTTTTGTATTTTAGGTCAGTAAAGTGTTTTCTTTTTTGGGCCATTTACTCTTCTTGACTGGGAATTTGGAAATGTGGATTTTATTTGGTTTTTATTTTTTAAATTAGAGCTGATATTCCCTATGGAGACATTTATTTTCCAGAAGAGCAGCCTTTTGATAAATTTCTGGTATGTTCTTTCTACTATCAATTGAGAAGGGTAGGTAGATAGTGAGAAAGCCTGGGAGAAGAAAACAAACCCAAAAGGAAAATGAAGTTGATTAGCACATGATGAAAATGAAAGGAATGCATCTAAAGTAAACAAAGCAAAAAGATGATATTTGAGGGGGAGGTGAGATGCTTGAAGAAGGATGGATGGGTTTTGAGGTTGCAAATTGTGAGAGGGAGGGGTTATTTAATCCAGATCTAAAAAAGGTATGAGTGGTTGGAAAAAAAGAAATAAAGAAAATAGAAATGGCTTTTGCCAGGTAGTGCTGACTGTTTGTCTGCATTGTGAAAGAATATTCACTCTTGGTTTTTGGGCAATGCAGCTGTGGGACATGCCC